AAGGTTATTCAACATTTACCAGCACACCCCCTTGTATGGGGGTAAAGGAGGAGGAAGAGGTAAAAAGACAAAATCTCTTACTTAACTGGCCTCTGTTACCATCTTTCCTCTCAGCCATCAACTGTTTTCTGGCCCACTCTAGTCATAAAGACCCACCTCTTTAAAAGGGCACATGTGAGAGGTTGTCAGAGGAACTTGTTCCTCAATCAAGGAACCATAGACTGGGTGGCTTAAACAACAGAAATTTATTCTCATAGTTCTGGAGGCTAGAGAGTCTCCAAGGTCAAGGAACCAGCAGATCCAATGTCTTGTGAGGGTATTCTTCCTGGTCTGCAGACAGCTGTCTTCTTGCATCCTCATATAGCAGAAAGAGAAAGAGGGAAATTATCATTCTCGTGTCTCTTCTTATAAGGGCACTAATCCCATTATAAGGCCACATTTCATGACTTAATTACCTCCCAGAGGTCTCTCTTCCAAATACCATAACATTGAGAATTTAGGCTTCAACATATGAATTTGGGAAAGATTTAAACATTCATAGAATTCCACCCCTGGCTCTCCAAAATTCATGTCCTTCTAACATGCAAAATACATTCATTCCATCTCAACACACCCCAAAATCTTAACTGGTTCCAGTACCAACTCTAAAGTCTAAAGTCCAAAGTCTCAACCAAATATCATCTGAATCAGATATGGTTGAGACTCAAGGTAAGATTCATTATGAGGCAAAATTTCTCTCCAATTATGAACCCATGAAACAAAACAAGTTATGTGCTTCCAAAATACAATGACAGAACAGGCATAGGATAGACATTTCTATTACAAAAGGGGGAGACAGGAAAGAAGGAAGAGGTGACAGATCCCAAATAGGTCCAAAACCAAGCAAGACAAACTCTAGGGATCTTAAGGATCAAGAATAATCCTCTTTGGCTCAATACTCTGCCTTCTGGATCCACTGAGACAGTCATCTTACCCCCAGGTCCCACTGGGGCAATGGTCCTACCTCTGAGGCTCTGCCTGGTGGGGTTGCCTGTGGCTCCACTAGGCAAGGGTCTCACCCTTTGAAACCGAGGTAGAGGCAGCCCTGCTCTCCAGCTATGTGCACTTTGAGCCTATGGTGGGAGTGGCAGCTCTGATGATCTCTGAATTGCTTTTGGAGATCTTCCCCTTATCTTGAACACTAGTGCATGTTTGCAGTTGAATAGTTGCATGCAATAGCTCTACAGTCTGGTCCTGTAGAGTTTAAGAAGTCCAACAGTCTTCCTTCACTTTGTCCCATTTTCTGTTTCCTTTAGTCACAGCTGGCAGTGTTTCTGCTGGTATAATCCCATCTCTATTCCTGGCTTTAGCTGATTACATTCATGATTCACACCCACACTAATTCCTTACCAAATGGTCAGTCTACCACCTCCTTAGAGTTCTCCTCTGAACATGCTTTCTCATTTTTTGTAATATCAGTAGGCTAAACATTTTCTAAATCTTAAAGTTCTGGTTCCCTTTTGCCTAATAATTTCATCATCAATTCATTTCTCTCCTCTTGCATTTTACTATAAATGTCAGAAGGAACTGAGCTGCTTCTTCAACGCTTTGCTTAGAAATCTCCTCACCTAAATATCCAATTGTATTGCTCACAAGTTATATATCCCACAAAAATCTAGAAAACAAATACAAATCAGTCAAGTTATTTGCCACTCCATAAGGACCTTTCCTTCCGTATCCAATAACATGTTCCTGATTTCCATCTGGGACTTCATCAGAATGACCTTTACTATCCATATTTCTACCAACATTCTGTTCACGATTACATATGTATTCTCTAAGAAGACAGAGCTTTCCTCTTTCCTTTCTGAATCCTCACCAAAAGGCCTTTGAAAGCCCCTTCATGGCAATATTAGCATTTTCTAGCATGCACTTCAAAATTCTTTCAGCCTCTACCCATTAACCAGTTCCAAAACTGCTTCCCCATTTAAGGTTTTTGTTACAGCAGCACTCTACTTCTTAGTAACAATTTCTGTCTTTGTTCAGGCTGTTATAACAGAATACTATAGTCTGGGTGGCTTAAACAACAGCAATTTATTTCTCATGGTTCCGGAGGCTGGGAAGTCCAAGACCAAAGTGCCTCAGCAGATTCAGTGTTTGGTGATGGTTTTCTTCCTGGTTTGAAGATGGCTGTCTTCTTCTTGTATCCTCACATGGGCTAGAGCAGAGGGAGGAAGCAAGCTCTTCAGTCTTTTCTTCTCAGGGCATTAATCTCATTCAAGAGGACTCCACCCTCATGTCCTAATCACCTCCCAAAGACTCCACTTCATATCACTGTTAATTGGGGGTTAGGATTTTATCATACAACTGTTGGTGGGACACAAACATTCAGTTTATGACAGTGAGAATGATTGCCAAGGAGATGTTGATTATTTGTTTATTTGACTTTGTTTTGCTTTGTGTCTAGGAGATTTGTGGCACTTGGAATAAAAACTAAGGCAAGCTGTCAATAACCTGTTTAATGCTTCTATAAATAAGATCCTATTTAGTTATTTCAAAACCAGTTCTTTCTCCTTGCCCCCATCCTTTAAATATACATTCACATACACATGTGCACACACACACACACATACACACACACACACACACACACTTCTGGGAAGCAGTTCCAGATACACGGTGGAAATGATGGAAGGTGATGACAGGTGTGATGGGTTCCCAGGTGCCATGGGCATATTAATCATCAAGGAGTAGGAGGAAAAAAAATCAGACTTTTTGTGATTCTTGGCCCTTCACTTTCATACATTAGTTCACAAGGATTTAGCATGACTGGTCCTGCTGGCAGCCTTCTGAATGTTTGACTCTATTGATGATAAGGAAAAAAAGAATGCTTTTTACTAAAATCCATGCACTTCATCATTTAAGTTAGGAGCAGAACAATACCTATTCTTACTAGTGTACTACACTGTTCTAGAAGTGCTCCCCAATGATATTAAATAAGAGCATAAGATAAAACAGTTTTTTGAAACGAACTATTTTATGAAGATTAATTATTTACTGAACATCCCAAAGAGAATAAATAAACTGAAAACCCATTAGAAATTATAAGGTTATATGATAGTTCAGTTAAAATTTACCAACACAATTCATGCATTCAGCAAATATTTATTACACATGTACTATGTCCAGTCACTGTTCTGGGTGCTGGGAATACAACAGTGAACTAAACAAAGACCCTGCCCTCAGAGTTTACATTCTAGGATAAGGCAGGGAGACTTATCCACTCATGATAAGTGCCATAAAGAAAAATGTATTTCGAATGTTTCTAACACAAACAAATGACGAATGTTGGAAGTGATGGATATGCTAATTACCCTGATATGATCATTGCATATTTTATACATGTACCCAAATATCACATTTACCCCAGAAATACATACAATTATCATGTGTCAATTAAAAAAGTTAAATTTAAAAATTAACAAAACATATAGTAAATTAAGGAAATGAAGATCAGCAGGGATTACTATTTTAGGTTGGGTGTTGAGAACAGAAAAGAGCTTTCTGAAGAGGTGGAAATTTGAGAGGAGACTTACGAAATAAAGGAGTAAACCATGTCAACACCTGGGGAAAGAATATTACAGGCAGAGGGAAGAGCAAGTGCCAAGGTCCTTAAGTGGAGCTTAATTTTCTTTCTCTAAACCAAGCAGCTAGAAAGTGCACTCCACTGCCCCGTGGAGTGAGGGGTGAAGGGTGTGCAGAGGGGGGCCTAGAGGGGCATTCAGTGGAAGTTCCTCTACTTAGGAACATGAGAATTGGGGCGAAATTTCCTGTCTGGCAGTGAGAATTTTGAATTTTATTGGAGTCTGGTAGGGAACGGCTCAAGGGGAATGGCAATCACATTTATATTTTACACGTGCTACTATGTCTGCGTTGAGAATAGAATGTTGGGGACAAGAGTGATGGCAGGGAGAGCAAACAGAAGAAGGCTGGAGAAGCAGTTCAGATGGAAGATGAAGGAGTCTTAGATAGCGTGGAAGTAAGAAGGAAAAAAATGGTTGGATTTGGAATATAATTTAAAGAAAGACCCAGTGAGATTTGCTGACAAATTGGGAGTGAGGAATGAGAGAAAGAGATGTCAAGATGTCTGAACTTTCTGGCCTAAACCTGGGTGAGGAACAGATTGGGAAGGGGGTGGGAGCAAGGAAATGGTTTTGAATATATTGCTTGAGATACCTGTAATACATCTAAGTGCAGGACTCATGCAGGCAGTTGGATATAGGAGGGTGCTTCAAAAAGTTTGTGGACAAATTGAATTAAAAGATAATATGAATCCTTCCATGAACATAAAGACCTCCTCGTATAAATCTGGAGCTCAGGAAAGAGTTTGGGGTCTGGACTATAAATCTGGGGACACTGGTCTATACATAAAATATTTAAAGGTGTGGGAATGGATAATATCAACTAAGGGTGAGAGTCTGAGGTCTGAGGACGGAGTCATAGGTTGCTCCATTCCTTAGGTGTCAGAAATATCATTAACTACACAATGCCATCAACTTTCTTATGTACTATCAATAGCCAGTTAAAGAATTTAGAGGAGAAAAATTCCTGTTCACAACAAATAAACTTATTTGTTGCTCACAATAAATAAATGTGATATACTATTCTGATATCTGAACCATAACTCCATGTGCCACCACTTTGATTCAGTTCTGGTAATGTTCCCAGTATTTTATTGAGCAAATTGCCATCATATTTTTCTAAAAGGGTTAATCAACTTCTGAATAATAGTTTCCTGGAGTGCCTTCAATCCTATTATGACAGCAGGCAGTTTCCTGTCCCCCTCTACTGCAAATGATTATCACTAATATTTTCAGCTCCTGCTCAATCAGTTCTGATCTTTTACACTTTTAAATCTATATTAACTGGGACTTAACCACATTTCTTCAAATTTATTTTTTAGATTCATTTTGTAAATTGTTCTGATTATTTGAATTTAGGTGAATTATTATTTCTTCCAGGTGTGTCTCTTTCAAATGTGAACCCAAACCTAGAAAGAGTGATTTTGAAAAGTCACCTGTAAGATCACACTTTGTTCCAACAAATATAAAGCGTAATGAAAGTAAGTCAATAAGCAATTCTTTGTGTAGCATATTTGCTTCTCTCCTCTGTGCTCTGCCTATTCATCCCTCCCTCCTCCCAACCCCCAGCAACCGCTGGTCTTTTTACTGCCTCCATAGTTTTGCCTTTTTCCTGAATGTCATAGAATATCATATAGTTGGAATCATACAGTATGTAGCCTTTTCAGATTGGCTTCTCTCACTTAGTAATATGCACTCAGGTTTCTTCCATGCATTTTCATAACTTGATAGCTCATTTCTTTTTAGCACTGAACAGTATTCCATTGTCGGGATGTAAATTATCTTACTCCCCTCCTGATTTTTATGTTATTACTGTTCTGTGTTTTAATACTATATAACACATAAGACATTTATTATTATTATTATTATTATTATTATTATTATTATTATTATTATTCAGCCTATGTTAATTTAGAATTTTACTTCTCTGTCTTTACATCTGGCCTCATTTTCCTTTTGCCTTTAAGTACCTCCTTTAGAATTTCCTTGGTGCATATCTTCTTGTGGTGAGCTCTCTCAATTTTTGTTCATCCAAAAAGTCATTGTTGGGCCTAACCCGTGGCTCACTCGGGAGAGTGCAGCGCTGGGAGCACTGAGACCGCTGGTTCGGATCCTCTATAGGGTTGGCCAGTGCGCTCACTGGCTGAGCGCAGTGCGGGTGACACCAAGCCAAGGGTTACGATCCCCTTACCGGTCACAAGAAAAAAAAAAAAAGTCGTTGTTTCACCTTCATTCTGGAAGAATATTTTGTTGAGTATAAAATTTTAGGTTGGAAGTTATCCTTCCACTATCTTCTGGTTTCCATTGTTGCAATTGATAAGACAGCCTAATTGCCATTTCTTTAAAGCTATCCATTCTGGTTGCTTTTAAGATTTTCTCTTTCCTTGGTTTCATGTATTTTCACTATGATATGTCCAGGGATGAATTATTTTTATTTATCCTACTTTGTGTTCATTGGACTTTGAATCTTTTATCAA